ACAGCAGGAGAAGAGTTAGCAAACACTGTAAGTTTCTGTTTAAAAAACTCTAACTGTGTATAATTGTTAGTAACAATTATTGTAACAGTGCAAACATTTGCTGGTTCTTTATAAACAAGTTGTAGCTATAAAGAAGTGTTATGACTGCCAAGAGAAATCTGAGACTCGAGAAGGAGGAGGATAGTTTGTGAAACAGGAGCAAAAGAAAATGTGACAATCCTGAGCACTGCATCACCTGCAAAAACGTCCTTTGTCTCCATTTAGAATTGGTTTACTATTACATTGATAAAGTTCAAGCAGAATGAGTTCCCAATTAGACAAATTAGAACAATTTTATAATGTTTAACAGAGCTACTCTGTTTTGCAATGGTAGGACAAAAACTATTGAAGAGAAAAGCTCCTTCCTTTGAGTGGGGTTTTGCTGTTACCACGTGTGGTTTCTCTTCTTGAGTTGTCTTTTGTCTGCCCTGCTCCTGGGTTGTGACACAAACAACTTCAAGACTTCCCATAGCTGTTTTCAGACTGTGATGTGGCTTAAAAACAGTCGAATTCATCACTTGGACAAATTAGAACAATTTTATAATGTTTAACAGAGCTACTCTCTTTTGCAATGGCAGAACAAAACCTACTGAAGAGGAGAAAAGCTCCTTCCTTTGAGTGGGGTTTTGCTGTTACCACGTGTGGTTTCTCTTCTTGAGTTGTCTTTTGTCTGCCCTGCTCCTGGGTTGTGCCACAAACCACTGCAAGACTTCCCATAGCTGTTTTCAGACTGTGATGTGGCTTGAAAACAGTTGAATTCATCACTTGGAGTGGAGTCCTAGCTGGTAAATCTGAATAGACAGAAAATTTCAGGTTGTAGTTTATATGTTACTGATAATTACAAAGCATAGCTGAAAAGTGGTTATTAGTGATTTGTTAGTTACACTGCAGAGGTTGGAAATGCTGTGTGGAAAAAGGGGAAAAAATAAGCTGATCCTGCAATAATTTGGCTACATAGAAGTTGGGGGCAAGTACAAATTCCTAAAGAAGGACCTGCTGACAGCCGAATTACACCCAAAACCTTTGAATTTTTTTTGTACAACCAGACTAAGTTCTGCACAAAGTGAATAATTTCTCTCCTGCAGTTTATTTGTGTCCTAAATAAGAAGGAAAAAATAATTAAGTGATGTCTAAAGTCTTGGTACGTTATGTGCATTGAAGAGTAAGTTAAGAGCAAAGGTTGTCTTAATGATTTGAAAGCAAGAAGATAATTATTACGTGGCTCACTTCAAAGTGCCTTGAAAGAAATAATTTTTTGAGAAAACCTTTTCATAGGAGGTTGGAAATCGTGAGCCTGGAGCCCTCTAGTGTCAGCGCTGGGGTGATTTTCATTGATTATCTGCACTAGGATAGTTCAGTGGGACCTGCCCGGGATCCTGACCTCTGTCCATAAAGAGCTGCCAAGCCAATCACTTCCTTCCACCTAGTTGTTGGTAGATTGAATTATTTAACCACAGTTTCAAAAGCTGATTGTTTATTTTTGAAGAGATATAACTGATCTTGTTCATGCCAGGTTTTAGGGAGATTTAGTTTGGGGCTGCTCCCCAGTCTGTGTCAGCAATAACTTGGAGCAAAGATACATCTTGCATCAAGGGAAATTGAGGAATCCTGTCAAGCTGGTCTGCTACATCCACTGCAGAGATCTGTTTTTCACTTACTCCATGTCTTGTTTTGGGAGGTCCCTGCACATCCTTCCATCTGCCCTTTCATGCCCAGAACACGTTGTCTCCTGCTCTCATTCTCCTGAGTTGAGGGCTCCCCTTTGTTCTTTCCCAGCACTGGGACAGTATCTGTGGTACAAGGTACAAGATCTTCCTTCTCCAAGGCAGGGTCTCCAGTACATCCTGGGTCACAGTGCTGCACGCCTCCATGGTTTGCCTTGGGTTAAGTTTCCCATCCTTGTTTCCTTGCCAGGACCAAAGTCTCTCCATTCCTTTGCTTTTCTTTCTTTTTTTTTCCCTTTTTATACCCCCAAACTCTTTTTTTTGGCCTCTGCTGTCTGTCATTATCACCTCTCAGTCTCCACATGCACTACATACCACGTCTGTCATTGCCTCCTTCCTTATATTAGTTTTTCCTCTTTCTATGAATTGTATGAAGTGGCTGGTGGGGAAGAGTTTGTAGAGTTTTCCCGGGAAGAGGGTAACTGCTGGGATGCTGGGATACAGGATTTGCAAGGAAACCCAGCCACTGATCTTGAAACAGCATGCAGGGAATCTTCTTTCAGTGGGTTAACTGTGGGTCAGGAGCTGTTGTGGACCAAAGAAGTCCAATTAAAAATAAGAATTATTTTTACATTATAGACAGTCTCTTTTCCCTTCTGTGGAATGAATGGGAGAAGAATGATTTCCAAACTTCTCTGGGAAGGCCAGAGAATCTGTCACTGATGAACCAGTCATGAATTCATACAGAACCACAGTGTGGTATGGGTTGGAAGGGATCTCTGGAGGTCACCTCATTCAACTGCTCTGCAGAAATAGGGTCCCCTAGAGCAGGGTGCCCAGGATGGTGTCCAGGATGGTTTGGGATCTCTCCAGAGCAGGAGACTCCACAGCCTCTCTGGCCAGCTGCTCCAGGCTCTGCCTTGTCCTCAGCAAAGAAACTTCTCCCCCTGTTAGGATGGAACCTGGTTCTGATAGAACTGGGTTCCAGTTGGTGCCCGTTGCCCCTTGTCCTGTCGCTGGGCACCACTGACCAGAGTCTGGCCCCAGCCTCTTGACCCCCACCCTTTAGCCATTGATCAGCACTGCTCAGATCCCCTCTGAGGCTTCTCTTCTCCAGGCTCAGCAGCCCCAGGGCTCTCAGCCTGTCCTGGCACAGA